AATGCCTGTACATCAGACTACCCAGACTTTGTACAAGATGATAATTTTTTTTAACACATGCACGTTTTACCGGATGACATTGTTGCAGACTTAAAGAATAAACGTTTTTTAAGGATAAAGGCCATTTGAATGACAATGGTTTATTTCTTCTCAATCTTTGTCAACAAACAGGTCTCCTTATATTAAATGGTCGTTTGGGAGCTGACAGAAATGTCGGTAATTACACATTTGTAGGTAGTAGGGGATCGAGTGTTTTGGATTATGTTTTAACTACACAAACTTTGTTCCATTGTATAGATTAGTTTGAGATCTTAGAACCGAATATTTTATCTGATCATTGCCTCATTAATTTTTCACTTGCATCCTGCGACATTAGTATTTTAAATGATGTACATATTGTATCCGCAAGCGATAATTTTATATATGTGTGAAAGAAGATTATATTAAGAGATTATCATCCGCTGATTTTATGTCAAAATTACACAGTTTTTATGAACATGTAAATACTTCTGTCTCGGCAAATGAGATAAATTTATGTATCGATGAATTTTCGAATATTATTTCTGAGGTTGCATCTTCCTTTTTTAAGAGAGAGGTAAAATGCGAATCTGGTTCCGTTCTTGATGTGAACAGTAATTTTTGTTGTAAATGGTATACTGAAGAATGTTATAAAAAATGATCAAATGTTTACAAATTGTTTAATGTCTTTAGAGGACAAATCGGATGATAACCGGAATGCTAAGGCTTGCGTTAGAAAATGTAAACTGGAATATGACAAAAGAGAGACTGAAAAATTAAACCAGGTCAAACATAATAATGTTAAGTTATACTGGAACATGTTGAAAAAATGCGCTGGTGTAACACTATCGAATATATCGGTTGATATTTTTAAGAAATATTTTGAATCAGTTAATAACACCGATGATCATTTTTTCCAACCTGATGAAGATGTACTGTTTTTTTATTGTAAGATATAAGCAGAATGAATTTAAGATAATGTTTCAAGAACAGAATGGACAAATACAGGAGGGTTGTATTTTAAAAGCAAGTATCAGTAGTGGGCCAGATACATATATTAATGAATTCTTTATACATGGCAAACATATATTATTACCTTTCTTATTATCGTATTTAATAGAATATTTACTTCGGGATATTTCCTGAAAGTTGGTCAGAGGGATATGTTGTTTCATTACATAAAAAGGCAATATAAACGATGAAAGCAATTATAGAGGAATAACACTGTTAAGTACCTTAGGGAAATTATTTACGCGGATATACATAATTGGCGGAAAAATACGGTGCTAATGTTGAGGCGCAATCGGGGTTTAGGTCAAAAATAGGTACTACAGATAATATTTTTGTACCTCATGGTCTTATTAGTCATATGTTAAATAACGGGAAACAACTTTTTTGTGCATTTATTGATTTCAGTAAAGCCTTTGATTATGTTGTCAGAGATGATTTATGGTTAAAGATTATTAAGTTAGGTTTTCGTGGAAACACGTTATATATAATTATATCTATGTATTGAGCAGTTAAATTCTGAGTTAAAATATTCTAACAAAATAAGTGAGCAATTTCAATGTATGTTAGGTGTCACACAATGCGAGTGTTTGTCTCCCTTTCTTTTCGCAATGTTTCTTAATGATTTAGAAGATATTTATTGATGAAGGTTTAGAAGGCATTGATGTTCAAATGTTTAAAATGTTTATAATCTTATATGCAGATGGTATTGTTATATTTGCAAATAGTTATATTGAATTACAAAGTAGTTTAGATGCATTATACGAATATTGTTACAGTGGAAACTTGTTTTTAATTCAGAAAAAAACTGAAGTAATTATTTCTGCAAAGGTGGCCTTTTTACAAAGTAATATTTCGTTTAGTTATAATGGTAATCCTGTTGAAATTGTATGTAAGTTCACTTACTTGGGTATTGTCTTTACTACCGGTGGTTCTTTCTCTGAAGCTCAAAGTACACTTTCTGGCATTGACAGGCCACAAAGGCAATTTTTAGAATGTATAAGTATTTATTTAAATTTACAGATATATCTGCTAAACATAAGTTAGAACTTTTTGACAAACTTATTTCTCCTATTCTTTATTATAGTTCCGAATTTTGGGGGTTTATAAAAGCTATTGAAAGGTTGCACATGCAGTTCAGTAAAAATTGGTCTAAATGATAATGAATATGTTAGAAAAATGTACATTATGTTAAAAGAAGATATAGATAATCCTTATCACAAACACTGGTTTTCTCTATTAAGAAATTTACTTTGTAATCTTGGTTTTTATGATGCATGGCTTTTTCAAACTGTTGGAAACACATATGCATTTTTGAATATAGTGAAGCAAAGAATTAAAGATCAATTTTTACAGAATTGGGATAGTAGACTTCAAATTTCTAGTAGAGCTACTTTTTATAGGTGCATTTCAAACATTCAACTACAGCCACATTTAAGCTTAATTAACATATCGCATATTTATTTCAAAATAAAGGGTATCGTCTTATAGATTGAATATTGAAATGGGGATGTGGACGAAACCTATATGCACTTTTTTGAATGAAAGAATATGTTATCACTGCAATGTAATAGAAGATGTATATCATTTTGTTTTAGAATGTGCGATGTATAATCTCATACAAAAGAAGTATATATCTGGTTATTATTGGAGACACCCAAATATGTTAAAAATTAACAGAGCTATTTAATTCTGAGAACTTGAAAGTAATAAGAAATCTGAATATTTTTGTCAATAAAGCTTTCGAAAATAGAACAGAAATATTTTTTAATATTCAGACATGCATTGTATCATGCATTTATCATTGTTTTTAGTTGAATCTTACATACAAAGGTTTATTAATCAACTATCAAACCGTTTTGTATATAACGATCATCATATCTGCTATCAGAAGTCTTGTGTTTCGTTTTTGTAACATTTTCCTTCAAATAAATAATTTTTAATTTTTTTATATCGAGTATACTTTTTCTAATATGTTTTCTGTCAGTGGATCTTTCACACTTTATCTTGAAACTTTCGAACGTCAAGATAGATGGAACTATGGTCTACGGATTGATTTTATAGATACTCCTTTATTATTATATTTTGACAAGCTAATCTGGTAGTATTTACCGAAATTATACTTAAATACGACGATCACACATTTTGCTACTATTCTATTTGTACTAGTGAATATATACAATTATCAAATATTATTGTATTAAGTAAAAAAAAATTATAATAATGTGCATTGATTTTATATAGAAATAGAATATTTGTACGCTAACATTACTTCGGATGAATTGTCACAGATAATAATGTAAATATCTATCATGCACTTAACTGCTGATGTCTTTATACATGTATTCCTATTATGTTACTAGGTTGATTGTTTGTAAATATATTGTCCTCATGGGTCTATGACCTTCTGGAATTTACTTGAATAAAATTCTAAAATGTAAAAAATCATAATAACACTTTAATGGTGCTTAAAGCAATTGCAACAACATTTTTATTCAATACAAAATATAATTCAAACTATTTTAAAGTGTACAAAGTTATATCTGTGTGTAGTCTAAATTATTTTTGTTGGAATTTTGTAAAAGAACAGTTCCGAAATGCCTGTATGTAAGACATATGTTGGTATATTTCCTTTTATGGAAAAATCAAGAAATCATTGCTAACCGTTTTAAATTCCTTAAAAAAGCAACATTTTGTTCCGGAATATTTTATTTCTGTTTACGCTAAGTTTGCATATGTATTAAATAACATAAACATTTATGTACAACTCATTCGAGAATCGACACTAAGATTACAGAAGCAACATAATTATACTATTCTTAAGATTTATGAAACAATTTTGTATAGGTTAAAGTATATATGTACGTTATTACAAAAATAAATTGGCCAGGCGCGGCACTGGTTAGTAGCACTGGTTGTTTAAAGCTCATTTACTAAAATTAATTCTTTCAAAATTTGAAAAATACTGCCATCTCATTGGACAAAAAATAATTTCAAACACTTACATTAGATAAAGCCTTTAAAATCAAGATTGAAATTGGTTTAAAAACAAACACCTGTTAGTGTTTGAACTTATTTTTTTTGTCCAAAAGGATTGCAGCATTTCAAATGAATCGTAATACATTTACTTTGGTGAATCGGCTAACTGGTTAATCAGACTTGTATAACGAACGTTTATAAAAAATAATTTAAAATACATAGCTTGTAAGGATTATTAGTACGTATTTACAAAATTAAATTGGTCGCGCCGCTGCGCCATACGTACTAATATATTAAATCCTAAGTATACATAGTATTATGGTTTAAATCAGATGAGGTGATAATAATCGTTTAAAGCGTTTGATTGTATAGATTAGTAATATGCAAACATTGATTTCATATTGATACAAATAAATATATGACACACTTAATGTTATGTCAATATCATTATTATACATCTAATGCATGAGTCATGTATAAAGTATTATATATTTAGTAATGTATAAAGTATTATATATTTATAAAAACTCTTATCCTTTATATAAAGGCAATATGTTAAAATTGGCAATGATGCCATGTTGAGTAGCCTGTCACGTATCTTTTTACAACTGACTTGCTTCTGTGTTTTAGCCGCTTATAACCGCAATTTATTGTTGACATTGTCAACAACAGGATATTTTCCATGGGCCCAACAATAATTTTATAAGGTGCAATTTTATGCCAAAATAGACTCCATGTCAACAAAATAATAAAACAAAAAATCTTATGATAAGAATAAGTGCATTTTAATATTGTTATTATCTAAGTAACAATATGAAAATAAGAATTTAAGCAAAACAAATTATTATAATCGGATAAAGAACTATCCCATGCATTCAACTACGTCATAACGCCATATTTATGTTATGACATAACGCCATTTGTTATGAAAGTGGCTATCTGGTCATAATGGTGTATTACAGTGTTTTTTTTAACCTTACCTTGAAATTATTTGATTTTGTCCATAAAAAGCAATGATTAAATCCAGGTGAAGATAAGATAAGATCAAATAGGAAATTCATTTGTTATAGTGACATGTGTAAAATCAAAGATATGATATATGAAAAATAAGTGTAACAACATGCACGCCCGGCCAAATTGACCTATAAGTCATATATTGACAAACATCAAAGTATTATAAAATAATATACATGTATACAGAGTCATATCGGAGGAGTTAAATACAGTGCGAATCGATTTGGACATATCTTAATTTGAAAGATTGTTTGTAGGCATAAAAACAATCGTAAGAAATAATTATATCTATAATGTTATTGGCTAAATTATATTTTTAATGGTAGAAAATATGATAAATATATGATAAATCGTCTTAGATTGCCTGCTGATGTGATCCATGACATACGATTAATGTATTTGAACAAGAGTTACCGAGTCTGTAACACTCTCAATTTTGCCGTTTGGACTTTCTTTAGGGATTCTTATTTTCTCTATTTTCATGACACGAAAGCAAAAACTTCCCGAAACCGGAGATATTCAATTCTTACAAATAATTGTATTTCTTATGTCTTTGCCGTCAAAACACCTTTATCATCTCTGACAGCCTTCTTGTGCCTTTGAAATTCACTATTTCTGGAAAACAAATTACTGAATACTCCAGCTATAGCAGCGATGGGTAATGCCAGTACAATTATTCCATTTATTGCACAAACTACGCCTAGGATGTAGCCAAACGTGCTGACTGGATAAAAATCCCCATATCCGACAGTTGTCATCGTAATCACCGCCCACCACATTGTCAACTGAGTGTTTGGGAACATGTCACTCTCTATTTCAGCAGAGAAAATCAGGCATGCATAAATGACGACAAGCACAAGAAACGTGAATAAAAGAAGCATCAGCTCCTTAAGACTGTGTTTTAGAGCAACTAACATGATATGCAAGGAATTGAAGATTTTTCTAAGTCTGAATATCAGCAACAATCGTAATGATGCCAACCCCCTACATGCCATCATGAAATGAGCGACCCGATTGTTTTCTTTCAAAATGTCTTTGTTTATCTCCATAACCACTGTGATCGTCATACATAAACATACAATAACTTTTATCAAATTGTATATATCACAGAAATACGCTTTTTTGTTTGGACATACAGAGACTGTTAGTAACAATTCAAAAGCGAAGAATACTATACAAAACACGTCTACGGCAAGCAAAACTGGATGTGGATCCGTTCCTCCCGCCATCATAATCTTTTCATTGTAGGTCTTTTGTAAATCTTCGTAGGCTGTGCTGTTTAGACTAAACACGTCGATACTGTCCTGGTCAAGTGTTGAGAGGTATCTTGATACTCTTACTGACGGAACCAACCAGATAAGATAAAGGACTACGCTTACCAGTACAACAAAGATGTAGAAATAATACCAGACCTGCAAAATAAAACAATTGCATCTAGTTCTATAGAAAATTGTATAATTTAAGCAATAGAAATAGCACAAGACCTTCATAATAACATAAAGATATCTTCAGGAAACTCCATTAAATTTATAATGAATAATTTTGACTAATGATATGGCAATAGTATCTGTTACTTAACTATATACATGCAAGTGTGGTGAAACATACCGAGTCTTATTGTGCTTTTCATAGTTTCTAAGCGTCTGTCGGGAGGCAAAATGTTTAATATAGATGAATGAGGTAAATCAAATCAGTAAGATATTACAGCATGAACAATCAAGAGCTTTCTATAACGTCACAAAACATTTTATGAAATTTAGTTTAATACATTCTTGAACGCTTTTAGACTATCCGTATAAAGCTATGACGTTGCTACTTCTCGCATGTATTGCTTTTTGCAATGGATGTAGGTAACATGGCTATGTTTGCAACAAAATAAATGAATCGCTTTTGTCTCCCATTTATATCATTGATTTTCAATTTAAGATATTATTGTATACACGCAACACGTATTTTTACCTTTGCTGCTGTTGAAGACGCTGGTTCTTCGAGAAATAACCAGATTTTAGATCTTCTTGATCCATTCTCTTCTATACCTTTTTTGTGTATCTCTTGTCCCGTCCCATCTTGCATTTCTGCTGATGTAGCAACGTCTTTCTCACCTGGTATAACATGATTATGTTTGCTCCATTTTTTCTTATAATCATTGTCCTCATTCATAACTATATTAAGATCGGCCAGGTTATTTTCAGATTCGTACAGGTATTGCCAGCAACATGGGGCAATCATCTGAATTGGTATACTCCAAAACTCCATCTCCTTTTTGAATACTAACGGACAAACTGTTCTTGGTATATGGACCTCTTTGAGTCGATAGGAATTTAAGATATGCCGGAAGAGTTCCGGATCCCGATCAAAATAGTAGACATTTTCGCGTGCGTCAAACTCTGTAGATAGCTCATCGAGATTTGATAACAATGTTCCATCAAATGTTTTTAATAAACTTCTTGTTGTTTTGAATAACACGGAACCAACAGATAAAGTCACTGTATCCGATAATCTTTGATTTGCCATGATTGAAGATTACAAATCATTAATATTTATGTCGTTAAAAAACTGATTAAATGAATGAAAAATTGATACAAGAGTATCTTTTACACATGAAAATACGTTAATATCAGTACGTCTTTCCAATAAAACCCATAACAAGCATTGGATATAATTGTTATAACATCCGCATAAATATTTTAATTATTCATTAATCGGAATACGGACTTCGTTAATGTCATATCAATAATATAGCACGATTAAAATGTTAGATATAAATTAAGCACTACATTCGAAATTTTAACAAAACTCTATCCTTATTAATGAATGTTTGAATATATCAAAGCGGATTAAAATCACATAAATAGATTAACCAAGGCCCAAGATATTCGATAGCTTTTAATTTACAATGTATATAATTAATGGCGGTCTCACCAATATCTATTACAAAATCATATATGTACATTAAAGTGAAGTGTTTACATAAGCACACAATATTAAGTATAGTTTTTATTGATGACAGCTTCAGAATAAGTGAACACTTACTTATTACTGGTTAAGAGCTTCAAAATATATTCATGCGATCACATATTCTCAGTGGTTATTTTTTAAATCTGAATAAATTAAAAATACGTTTTATTATTCCATCGACTTATTTACGATCAAAATGATGTTTTTATAACGAGTTAAGAGATTGCAGCCGATTATAAAGGTGTGAGCCTTCGTTATCAGTAGTAAACCATTAATAACCATCTATTAACAAGGATTTGATTTAAAATTTAGCTTACAATATTTTATTTTGCCGGTTCGACGGCTTGATATAATGAGTAACAGGCGTGGATCTAGGATTATTTAAAACAGGGATGGGATTACAAAGTTTTAACAAGGGGTAATGCATATTCAGGAGACTATTAGAATGCCAGACTAACTCCTGAATATTTGTGTGTTTTTAAAGGAGGAGGGGTAGCTTGATAGATTTCTCACATGTATAATCCTGCGACGCTTGCGCGGCTCGAACCTATGGTGAGAGGCAAGTAGTTTGAAGTAAACGTCCTTAACCATTTGGCCACGGATGTCCTCCTCTAATAATGATAACAACAACAATAATAATAATAATAATAATAATTATTATTATAAAAACCGACACACACAAAGCAATATCAAGGGCTATAGAAACTAAATTGACAGCAACATTTACAAAAACAACCAAACCAACAATTACGAAAACATGAATGAAAGTCGTTTAGTAGGATAAATATCTATCATTTACACGTAGTATTATGTTTTAACATTTGGAATATTTAACTTTTTATAATCCGGTCAATAAGCCGTCAAGGACTAATCGTCTGTAAATTGGTAGTAGCATAATAACTGATAAGAAACAACATTTAATCGCCGGATAACGATTTAATATTGGGATAAAATTTCCTTCTATTTTTATCAGTCGCGTGATTTCGGACTTTTTAAGAAGTGTCAAGCAAAGAAAGCATTTGTAACCAAAATATTACTAAATTAGAAGTTCTTAACTTTTGTATGTTTCCTTAAAATATGAAAACAAAGATCAACAAGAAAGGGTGACATTCAATGAACGTAGGACCAACAAAATCCTGCAACATAGAACAACTGACAAGAAGTCCATTTATTACTGCACTGAACAAAGGAGGAGAAGATAATGCGTTAGGACGAAGCAAGAGTACGCGGCGTTATTAATGCCAAAGAAATAATATGAAAATCAATACAATAGAAAATAAAGGAATCTCTACGGAACGCCCAAAATGACGAAACTGCATTGAACATTAAAGGTTACTATGAATATTGCTGGTACAGAAAATCTTTACAAATCTATAGATAATACTTGTACTCAATATCTAAGGTTATCAATTTACAAAAGCGGGCTTCCATCATTTTATTAAATCACAAGTAATGAAATATAAAAAAAAACTTGATGGAAGATCGGTCGTTATGACTAGATTCTCACAAAAGATACCATTGGTATGTACCATGGCAGGAAAGACCACTCGTATGAGAAATTAACATTTAAACCTGTGCAATTATTCTCTCTTTGCATCAAGCGTTCTATTGTTTCTTATGATTTACGAAAGAATGTATCCTCATTAAACTAAAAATATTACTTTTTAACGACTGCTTTAAGATACGGGTATAATTTAATACTGTTTAAATTTAATTTTTGTTTTGTTTTCTTTTTCGGGATGGGCAGTGGGCGTGAATACTGGCTTGCATTGACTTGTGCCGTCAATGAGCATGGCCAATCAAACCGAGCCTACAACTATTTCTAAACTAATCTGTATAATTGCTCGTCTTGATATAAGTAAGTTGCATATTAATAACCATATGCATGTATAGATTCGTTAATTGATTGTAAGATGGTATGAAAGGGTCTTTATTGTACTATGTAACATTATCTCACGTCATCCTAAAACTAATGACAGCGATACTTAAAGTGACATAATACTCATTTTCTTTTATCTTTATATTTAAAAAGATTGACCATTACATTGGTCATTGTCTTATAATTTGTAGTGAAAAATATCTAGGACAAAATACAAAACCTGCGTAAAACATAAAAAAAATGCGATACAATTTTATTTTAATTAATTGAACAGTTACCGATACACTCCAAAGCATATCTGTAGAATTTTCCTCTCATATAGGTTATTGATTATATTATACATGTACATGTAAAGAAGACTATTAAGGCCGAAAACATTGATGTCAAAATGTAATGTTATTTTGACTATTACCTGCACTCTCCCCATTTATACACATCGGTGTGATAAATGCCACCTCAATCATTTAATATGAATTATCACATATCTAAGAATTCTAAACTAACCTGTTGGAACCAAAAGTGAATCTTTGCGACCAGTATGAAATCGGGCCTGTCTTCGTTTTATTTTAGAGTAATTATTGTTGACTGACTCACTTCAAATATTCATCTGGATTGCCTAACATTGATAACGTAAAATACAATATTAAAGCCGACTAGTTCATTTAAGCAACAATAGTTTCACCTTTTCTGTTTGTCTGTTACAATCTTTCCGTGAAATAAATGAATGTTATAAAAAATAATATAACCTTGGTTATCAAAATGTGTTTCCCCACTGGTAGCCTCAATCACAGACGTCTTCCCCAAAATGTAAGGAATGGAGAGAAATATAATCACAAAAACAACAACAACAAAAAAAAGAAGAAAGAAGAAGAAGAAAAGGAAAAAAAAAAAGAAATTGGTAATGTTGGAGGCTCGTTTTTATTTTGTCTGTTCAAACTTAGCATTTCCAAACTTAACATTTGCGAATGTGTTCATACGGCGGTTATCATGGAATATAAATTCGTCCCAATTTAACGAGAAAACAATGGGCGAAACTAAATAAAAGGGGATCAAATGTTAAGGAGCCTGCATATCACGGACAAGAAAGCCTCAAAACGGCACAAATGAAAACGTTGCAGGCTCTGTTTGTGGATGTTCATGGAAGGTTGTGATAATTGCAAGCTTCCATCCGCGTTCCCTCCCTAGCACTTGCTTATACATAATTCAACATAAATAAATGAAAATGGTTAACATGAAACAAAACAACTTACTGTAACTGTGTCTTGGAGTATGTTAGTACTGTAGATGGTATTATGATAGACGTAAAAATTATCATTTCATGATCTGACTGCTTAATCTACTGTTTCATATATCAGGTATATTAGTGTCTGTTCGTTTAAGCATCAAAGCCCATAGATAAGCATTTCTAACAGTTCAGGTCTATAAATATTTGTTGCAAAGCAATTACTGCCACTACAAGTCAGGTAGATCACATTGTTGATGTCATTACATCATACAGTCAAAATATTTGGAATAGTAGCTAAATCATATCCCTGAAATACCTTTTTGTTGTTTCCTTTTTGATAAACTGATTAAAGAACTATACGTATAAGGAAATAAGAAAGTGATCAGTGTCAGTATAGGTTTGTTATAAAAAATACAGCTATTTTTTCAAAAGCTGTGTCAGAAATCATTCATCTAGATCGTCAAGATCTAGTCCTGCACAAATGTAAGAATAATAGAAGGTCATGAGTATTTTGGGAGATATTAATGTTTGATATTATAAGATTGACTGACAATGAAGTAAAATGATGTCGGTCTTCAATATTATGCCATGATATCCATTACAAGCATTGGTTAAAATATTGTGATTTTCCCTTGAGGCCCTGATTCAAACTGATATCTTTATGATTTAAGACTGATATCTCTATGATTTAAGACATGCTTAGAAGGCTATTAGAGTTTTGTTAGTTAGTTTTGTAATTCAGCATGACAAAGGAACAACTGCTAAACTGAAATGCTGAATAGCAAATTATTACACTTACCAAAAACTATGGTATTGACTGTTATTCTATTGTTACTGGAATTATTTTTAAACGCGTAATGCATTCGGGATAGAATCATAGAAGCTTTTTAAGTACGTGTAAAGTTATCATTCCCACGATATCAATACACGGTGTAATAAAAAAGAGAAAATAAGAATCCCCTAACAAAGTTTAAAACGGCAAAATTGAGAATGTTGCAGGCTCGGTATGTTTAGCCTGTTCATGGACGGTGCTGTCAAGTGCAAACTACCATCCACGCCCCTAGCACTAAGCTCATACTGTAAATATTAGAACAGGCAATATTAAGCCAGATCACGTTCTTAATCTTCGTGTATATTACTTTGTGCTTTTTTACTAGAACATAATGGTAAAAGTTCAACGAGGACGGAAACCTTTTTGTTTAAATAACACAATTAACACAATTTGTAGAATAATTAATGTACCCTATACTTTTGTACCACTGACGTCATCTTGAAATATTTTAATATTAAAAGTCCCACTGACACTTCCATCAATAAAGAGGGAAAACATTTATATATACATTAAGCTATACATGTTTTATCATGAATTAGTAATGATTAGTAAATGATTTTGTGAAGTAAGGAAAATAGACAAAATTTACAGTAAAACAATAGAAAAATGCAGGAGCATAAAAGCGTACAATCTACATAATTCACCCGATTCAAAATTGTGAGAATAATGCTGGAGTTTTATCTTAAAGACACATACAATCAAATTAAGCGGTGTTTATCGCTTTATTAACACAAGTTGGGAGCTTT